TCTTGAAGTAGACTTTCACCCAAAAATATCGCTCGCCCGAAAATATCCCATCGTCCCGGCTAGTAGCCCCTGGGTCTCCGATGATGCCTTTAACCGAGTTCAGTTATTTATAAATTTTCACCAGGTTTCTAAAATGTAAACCCAGTTCTGCTCTTAAAGTAAACTGGGCGCCCATAAATATCGCTCGGCCGAAAATATTGTATCGTCCCCGCTAATAGCCCCTAGGCCTCCGAGGATGCCTTTAACCGAGCTATTTGGGAATTTTAACCAGGTTTCTCAAAAATAAACCCAGTTAATTCTTTAAGTGCGGTCGCAGCCATTATCTACAGCAGAATAGATAGCGAGTAGCGCAGCCAATAAAAGAACGGCATTTTTGATGGAACGCTAGCAGAAAGATAAGTTAACTGATCTTTAGTGTTGATCGTATTATAACGAATGCAAACTACACAAAAACTTTTTCCTTCGACAACTGTCAAATAAAGTCAGACAATTCTCAATTGAGTGATACTTAATGGAATACTGAGCGATGAATACATTTTTCACTTTCTATGTGATTGTATGTCATCATCGCCTCCAAATTTATTTGGAATCTTTACAAAATATCTATATTATCAACAGTATGAAATCACGAAGGTTTCTACAACCACTTGGAGGTACAGTCGACTACAAAACAAACTGTCTACCAAGTATTGCAAACAATACCTTTTTGAACAATATATTATTGTTTCGCAAACGTGTTCTGACGAGACGTTCATCAGTAAAATGTTAAATAACAACATTTCACTTGGCTCCTCTGTACAGTTTTCTGGATAATTTGAGAAGCTGCCGATGTAAGCTTGCAATTTTCGCTTTAATATTTTTATTTCTTATTTCTTTAATATCATACACACTGATTTTTTTTCTACCGTTTAGGTTATATTTGTGCCCGCAGTCTGCAACCTCCACGCTGAACTGATATAGAGGTACGATATCTGATTTACTAGAATTGTGTGGGTACAGCAAATTCGTTGGTAGTTTGACGAAACAGTAATTCGGCAGAGTCATATGAGCCCGGTAACCGGGCTGGCTCGGTTACCGGGACGAATTTTGTTGTCTCTCAATATGGGAAATTTCGGCCCGGTAGACCGGGATGAAATTCAGGAAACACAACCAAAATGGTGCACCATAAACTTGTATCATTCGCGGCTGTCGTAGCTTTGAGGACTCTTGTAACTTTACTAATAAAGCTAATTCGCATACAATGCGGAAATACATACAAGACAGAAATCATGCCATTTTGGCGGCTATGACGGTTGCGAAAGCGAGGCTATTTTGCCGAAAAAGTTTCGTCCCGGTTACCCGGGCTGGAGTGTTCATATGGAAAAATCTCGGTCGATCTCGATCTCGATCGCAAAAACCGGGATCTCGGTAACCGGGCCAGGGGCCCGTTTCTCGAAGGTCCCGAAAAGTTTTCGCACCCGAAAAACCATAGCAAAATCTCAAACCTTTTGACTTCAGAGCTGTTTTATGCACATATTCTTAATATAAACAGAGGTTCTCTTCATACAAGAAGTTTCAGGCGTATACACCTCGCTGTCTTGAAATACCAATGAACTAAAAATGGCTTTACAGGCCCGAAAAGTTTCCGGGGCTTTCGAGAAACGGGCCCCAGCCCGGCTTCTCATATGAACACATCGAAATTTTTACGGAGGAAAGAGTGGCGAGGCGAGATCTCGGAAACCGAGCTCATATGAAGAGGCCCTTAGCTCTTTTAAATAAACTCGATTATTGTTGGCGGCTCCCTCCATTATTTGCTATATTATTTGTCTCTTCTACTTGTAATAGAAATGTTTTCTATTCGGCTGAACGAAGCAAAATAGAATAGAACTCATGCCATGCTCACGAGAATAAACTCAGTTCAGAAAACACTTTTATCGAGGTGAACATTGTCATCTCTGTTAGGTTTTCGCTATTTTCAATGAGAGAAAAATTATGTTCACTAACTACCACTCAGATTGCTACTTGTCAGTAACTTTACTTGGACGATTTTCTTTTATAAAAAGTCACGCTATCTTGCAGGTTGATCAGTTGAAGGTTAATACCGCATTCGACGAAGCATTTTGCTTTATGCGGACCGCGGATCTGTTTTTGAGTAAGAACCACTGAGCTACTTCTCAAGCTGAGGAAATGTGCGTTAGCATGGACAACAATTTTCTGTGTGTTTTTTTTCGGCAAACGTTGAGCGAAATGTACAAAGTGCTATCCACGCGAAACTCAGAAGGAATTTTGTAGCTATATTTCGTAATAATGGCCCAGAGAAAAAAAGTATATGTAGACAGCCTAGATTCCAAAAGAATTTTCAAAACAAGATTATTTAATTCAGACATTCTTAAAGAAAAACATGATATACTCGATTTCCTAAACGCAGGGCAAACCGTGATGGTTTAGTAAGAAAATTTGAACTTCGCATTTTTAGAAATGACAGAAATTACTACACTCGATCAAGCAAATCCACATATTTCTTACAAACCACTTTCATAAAAGAACGTCTATCACTGTTGAGAGAGGAGCTAATAGATTTATTATTATTCCCTTAGGTTGATTCTAATCAAACACTGTTATTTTTCCCTTTTGTTTTATGTTTTAGCTTTTCATCACAAAACTGAACCAGGCCACTGTTCTTTAAAAGGTAAGTGATTTAGGCGCCTGAGAAGAATTACCTTAAAAACACCTTGGCACGATTGTCAGTAGCTGCCTGCTGGGTAACTCTCTCAGCTAGACAGGGATAAGCTTAGTTGCAAAATATTCGATACTTTGAAAACAAAAACAAAAATTGCCATATTTACTCTTTTATTCTTCAACTTTCCTAGACTCACAATGAAAAAAAAGAGCTCTTAAATTTTTTGAGTACTCGAACTGTTGAATGTTATGAAAGGATTGCAAGTGTAGTTTGTTTTGAGAAAGCGATGGGAGATTAGTTTTAGTTTGGCGATCAAGTCAAAATTACAGCGCAATTCTAAGCTAACAGTAAATTTTGAACATCAGTTCTCGTCTATAAGTTTTAAAATCGGGTCGGCTCTCAGCTCACAATTGAAATTTTGATCTATCAGTTCATAGTATAAACTCTATCCAATTCCTCTGTTTATCGTTGGGTACTGCGACTTAGAAAAAAACAACAAAGCTTAGTTCTAGCTGGATTCTTTTAATACTTGCCGGTGCTCTAATAAAGATCGATACAGTAAATTAGGTAACGAGTCATTAAATAAGGACCCCTGTTTGTTCCAGTTTGGCCCTGTTAACTCGTTGCTGGGATTATTTTATTTGTAGATTCGCGTACAGCACGACACATCATGGACCAAAGGTTAATTTTAGTGGCAATGATACTCTTGATTCTTCCGTCCATTGTAGCATGGGGTAAGATTATTTCTTAATTTTATCAGACTTTTTATTCAGGCGCTATAAAGTTTTTGGACGAGCGGATAAGTGGAAGTGTGAAATAGAAAGAAAAAGGGCATTACAACTTTTACAATGAGTCAGTATGTGAGGTTACGGAAAGAATATGATTGTCAATGACACGATTATTAATAATTTTATTTATCACTGATAGTGAAGTTATGTTCATCATGACTCAATAGCTAATTCATTAACTCATATATTTTTGCCCCATTTTCTTTTCTTTTCATTTCTTTTCTTTTCAGATCCCTGGGTCAAAGCAAATCTCCGTCCTGTATGTTTTAGCACAAGGGATAGCAAGTATGGCAGTTTCAACGTCCCTACCAGTGGCAAGATAGTCGCTGTAAAATTGATCCACCTCAGTGGTTACGTGAGTTGCGCTATAAGCACGATTTCCCACTGGTCTTTCTGGGGCTGTGGTAACCATGGTTTAATAAAAAATCACGTCAGTCTTGCCATCACAACATCAAGCAATGCCCTCCTTATGCCGCCAAACCCGTTTTTCACGTTCTCTGGAGGTGCTGGAAAGTGGTCCGAGTTACCGGAATATAACTCGTTTTCTCCTGAGAACATCCTGCCGCGTTTTTCTCCTTACTCGGTGAGCTCGGGCCAAGAATTGCGACTGTGGTATGGTGAGGATTTGGTGGGCCACACTGAAATCGACAATGGAGGATTGGTCTGCTGTAATGTTTATGTTCTGTACGTCTGATAACAGTCCTAGCAAGTTTCAGTTTCAAGTTTCAGGCAGATATTCTGTAATGATTCTTTTTTTTTTTTTCGCTTTCTAGCTGCAGACNCGTTTTCTCCTGAGATCATCCTGCCGCGTTTTTCTCCTTACTCGGTGAGCTCGGGCCAAGAATTGCGACTTTGGTATGGTGAGGATTTGGTGGACTACGCTGAAACCGACAATGGAGGATTAGTCTGCTGTAATGTTTATGTTCTGTACGTCTGATAACAGTCCTAGCAAGTTTCAGTTTCAAGTTTCAGGCAGATTTTCTGTAATGATTCTTTTTTTTTTTTTCGCTTTCTAGCTGCAGACTGAATTAAGGGTTCAATTAATTCTAGTAACATTTAGTATTAAAGATATTGCTTTACGTCGTTGGAGGAAAAGGAAAAATGGATATAAGAAATACAGAAAGCTATAAAACTAATATCTTTGAACTGTGATTAAATGGTACACCACAGAGCACATAAAAAGGGATTTTGCTTTGATTTGGGCAGTT